TGTCATCAGAATATAGCTATTTCAGAAGAAAATGCAGTGTGGAAGATTGTACAAAATTCCCTAGTTCCTACTCTATTTTTTCCTTTTTTTTTTTTTTGGAAATGACTCAGCTACTCTTGGGCACAAGAGACTTCCTTATTTAAAAAAAAAAAAGGATTTTGAAGAATGTATTAAAAATTGTTCAACTCCAACATTTTATATTTATATGCTCTCCACTCATAAGTTACCTCTTTTATGTCAAGAAGCATTTCTTTTATAAACCATTAAGGAATTCTGCTGTTGGAAGAAGAACATTTTGCCATTTGGCCTTCTTGTCCAGGTATCACAGCATTATTCATTCTGGCATAGTTTTCCCTCATGTTTCCTTTAGTTCATCAGAAGCATAAATGCAGCCAAAGGAACTGACTGGAACAAATGTCATTGTTTCTGTATTGCACGCTGAAATGGTTATACACGGTTTCACTTAGTATCTATGCCAGTGAGGTTGTAAATACTGACCAATTTTGATTCATGAACTAAATGATGTGATTTCTGAGTATTTCAGTGACCTCAAAAATACACCAACAGGTCACATTTCTGCAGGTTTTGTGTTAAAGTGTATATATAATATATTCTGTAGACATTCCATATTTTGTTAGTATTAGAGATTTTCTTTGAGAAACTTGTTATCTATGCAAATTATATTCCCTTAAATTAACAGTTTGTCTGGTCTTTGGCTGAACCAACACTAGTAATATTAATCTCTTACTTGCAAAGATGCTATGATTTTTACCTTGTATTCCTTTTTAAAGCACTTTATTCCCAGCAACACCAATTAATATCATATTTAAATTGCCACTGGATTTGGCATTTATGAAGTCACTATTGACTGTAGCAAAGAGATTTTGGTCAAATAATGTGGATGAAAGCCTAGTTGGCATGGATTCCAGGGAGAATGGGAAAAGGATTTTGAAGAATGGATTAAAAATTAAAGACAATGGACTATAACCAAGATGAAAATGCATATGTTGTGCAAAAATGAAAAATGATGTAAAAAAATATATAAAATTAAAAAAAAAACAGTAAAAAAATTGAAGACAATGAAAGAGAAAAGTTTCAATAGAGGCTTTATTTATAATGAATATTACTGAATGTGTGCAAATGAGAATTCTCCAGAGGGGGATATGTGAGTGGATAACTACAGGAGTGGAGAAGATCCAGGGTAAAAGCAGAGAGATTGAGGGCCTCCCCGGTGGCGCTACTATTGAGCACTGGGTTGCGAAGCTGCGCAGCCTCTGCAGCGCTGGTTCGATCCCCTCCCACCAGAGGGTTCCACATGGTGCGCAGACCTCTCCTGCCGCCCGCTGCTCCCCTCAGCAGTGTGTTTCGTCAGTCTGCCTGCTCTGCTCCCCGCTCTGGCTCTGGTGAATTCTCTCACCCTCCTGCGCTTCTGACTGTACCCAGGGCTTGTATCAATCAATAAATAAATCTTAAAAAAAAAAAAAAAAAGGCAGAGAGATTGATTAAGAAAGCACAATGGATGTTTCTTTCATTGCACAAAAGGAAAGATGAATGGGACGATTTGATAAATCTGATCGTAGCAGGATGTTGAGTTTCTGTTCTGATGCTTTTATTTTCTCAATGAAATCAGCAGCGAAGGTATAACAGGAATGAAGATAGGTCTGGATATTCAAAGTTAGACGAGGAAGGAAGTAATTTGAAATAGGAGTGAATTAACTAGTGAAATGTAATTGGATTTTCAGGGAACGCTGGGGGTCCATTTGAAGGTTATCATCATGAATTTGAAGATGAACATTCAATATGATTGTAATTTATTTATTTCCTAGTGTATTTAACTGCTTAGGTGTGGTAGGGATTTAATATTAACTGTGGTCAATAGTTGTATTTGCCCAGTCAAACCCATACTAAAAAGGACAGGTGAGTTAAAGTGATATAAAAAGGGAGCAATTCTTAGTGATGGAGAATGGAACCCAGACAGGCAAGAAGGGAAGTGAGGGAAGGTGTGCTGGGCAGTGAGAATGTGGTAGACTCAGGCTTCACAGTTTAGGAATAACTGGGGTCAGGATATTTTGGGATTGAGCCAGAAGAAAGGAATAATGTTTGAATTTGAGATTTAGGAGATTGTACAGTTATTGATAAAGGCAAGTTCTAGGGTGTAACCATGATACTGCGCCTAATATAGAGAAGAGGATAAAACCATCAGGGGTTGGGAGGTCAAGGCGCTGAGAAACCATGTTGGAACTGGGAACTGGAACTTGCAAGGAGAAGGCAGCAAGAGAAGTCTTTTTACTTAGCAGGTGGTATTTGTAGCTTCCTCTTGATTATTGAATACTCCCTGTAGTGAAACATCCAGAAGCTGGATAAGATGCAGACTCACTCCTCAGTAAGCAGGAACTTTTGATGTGGCATTTCCTGGACACTGGCCATGTGCTCTCTGGCTGACCTTTCATGAATGGCCTTCAGTTCCTTTCCTATGGCCACACATCCCTTGTAGTTTTTTTTTCCTCTTGTCTTCACAGAGGCCCTTGTGAGCAGGATGTTTTGAACACCTCTCTGAGGTGTTGACTCAGAAGTGTCCGTGGCCCTCTGCTTGACTCAGAAGTGTCCTTGGCCCTCCAGCTCTGATGAGCTATTTCCCCATGAACCTTTCTAGCCTTGCTTTGGTAGTGAGGGGGAGTTTCTACACCTCTGCAAGCTACAGTTCAGAAGATGGTCCCTCTGAGGGACAGTTGTGACCTTCATTACCTGACTAATAATCTTCTCAGATAAATTTCATCTCCCCACAATATCCTCTAAGCTGCTCTTATATGTTGTCTGAGGTAATGATGGAAGTAAGGGTTGTAGGAGTTAGTGGATGCTTATTTGAAGTTGTGTCCTTTCCAGTGTCTAGTTATCTAGGGTCTCTCTTTCAAAGTTGATTGTTTTTTATGGGGCTGCTTGTTCTTCTCTAAGTGTCTGTTAAATGGGATCCTGCAGTTGTGTAGCTCAGGAATATTACATTGTCTCTTTTCTCTAGAATTTCAGTGTGTTGGAGGAATCATGCAAGTAAGACATGACAAGCTGGTGAGCGTTCAGAATTGTTACAAAAATGTCCTGCAAATAGTTTCCTGAAAAGTACTTTAAGCTATTAAAGCATGATGAGATGAATGTTCTCCTTTTGCCCTGCAGTAATAGAATTACATTGTAGGTACAAAGGAAATTACTTTTTAAACTTGCTTTTCTTCATTTTGATGCAAATTTTGATTTATAAATATTTTCTTAGTTTGATCACATCTGATTTGTGATTGGTGATGTATAAGTCTGATGTGTGATTTATCATAACTTATATTTTATTTCTCTGGAATCTGATTATCAGTCCAAATACAGTAACTGTGACAGTCTCACCAACATTTTCCAACATTATCCCCCTCCCCAAACCCGCACCTGTGCTCAATCCCCATTCCTTTTCCAATCACTCAGCTGCACTGGACTTCTTTTTCCAATTCCCATACTGTACCTTTAGCCAAAATAGTCTCTCCTCTTTCCTACCCCTATGATCGCCTCTCACACAATCTAACTAACTTCTTTCCATCCTTCATCCACAATGTCTCAGATTTCTCAGTGAAATCCCCTTTAACAATTCCCACTTCCAACCATTCTTTATAGGCCTGTGCCAAGTAATATGTCCCCACATAAGACCCTATCTTTCTTTAAAACACTTAACCATATTTGAAAACCATGTGGTAGCTGAGGATGTTGTCTTGAATATAGTTAGCGCTCAGTAAAGAACTGGTGAACAAACGAATGAAAATTTCCAATCAGTCTACCTACAGTGAAATTAAAGGCCTTCATCAGCATGTGCTGCTGGGCCAGTAGAGTTTGTGTGACTGGGAAAAAAGTCTATAAACCTAACGAGGTTAAAAGACCCTTGAGTACTTATCTGCTAACTCTGAAGCATATGTTTAGTTTTAAATACGTGGTTAGGTGTGAGTGGGAGGCAAACTTAGTTTTACATAGAAAAATCTGTACCCATGATTTCAGCGGTGTGTTTGTTCTCAGTGTGCTGCTCATTACAGTAATTGGCAGGTTGCTCACACAGGTGCTGACTCAGCAGAAAATTGTAACCACTCTTGAAAATACAGTTTAAGATCTGCAAATGAACAGTGAATAGGGTTACAGTCAGGTAAAACAAAAGGCCTATAGGAGGAGAAATCATCTTGAGAGATTTTCCCTACTTACTGAGCATTCATTCTATGGGATTTTGTAACTCAAAAGTTAGGCGTGGTGTCAAAGAACTTATTAAATCTCTGAGCAGTTAGTTCATCCTTTTCTGAAGAAAATTTAATTTACAAAATACATAAAAGGTCAAAACATTATCAGATTAAAATGATTTCTTGTTTCTTATTTATTTTTCATGTGGATGTGTTCTAAAACATTTTAGTATTGTCAGATTTTTTTTATTTCTACACCTTTTTAAACCTAAGGATTTCAAAATCAATATTTCCACGTTTTCCAAGAATATATAAGAAGGTGTTTTATCACTTTGAAATTTAGATAGGAGAATTGGAAAGAAAAAAGACTTTTAACATTTGTTCTTCTGTCTAATGTAATCCTGATAGTTGTTGAAAATGAGATTGTGGACGTTTTTCATTATCTTTCCATTATTTCCATACTTTTCCTCTTTTGATAATACTCCCAGGTTTATTTGGATTAAATTGACTCAGTACAAGCTGTCTTTGTGGAAATTACATGGTTTCCATGGGAAACATTTATGATATACCTTTTCCCAGTGTGCAAAAAACAATTTATTAAGAATTTGTTGAAAAGTAACCTCATTGTTACCTACTACACCAGTACAATATATGGAAATGATGAGATTGCTAGATTAATATTACTGAAGAAAGGGTGTTGCCTACAAATTTATTCTGAAATTGATGTTCAGTAACTAGAAATCAGTGTATTTGCTGATTTGTTGCCACCAAGCACTACTGAATTTTGAACCCCTGAAAACTCTCTTCTAGCTGCTTTCGAAATCTATTGAACAACTGAAACAACCAGGCAGTCACCTGGAGGAAGCAGAGGAAGAGCTTCAGGGGGACCAGGCGATGCAGGAAGACAGAGCGCCCTCTAGTGGCAACAGCACTAGGAGCGACAGCAGTGCTTGTGTGGATGACACACTGGGACAAGTTGGGGCTGTGAAGGTGAAGGAAGAACCAGTGGACAGTGATGAAGATGCTCAGACCCAGGAAATGGAATCTGGGGAACAGGCTGCTTTTATGCAACAGGTAATAGGCAAAGATTTAGCTCCAGGATTTGTAATTAAAGTCATCATCTGAATATGAAATGCATTGCAGTTTGTGGTAAATGGATATTTTTTTCCTATCCATTTATATCTCTGAATGATTTGATTTTCGTGTTTAAGGATTCTAACGAATGCAGAGATATCTATATATGGATCTCTATATAAACTGAGCTCTATGTAGATATCAAGGTTTCACTGAAACACCACTGGTAAGGAAATACCTGTTACACTAAAATTATACTACATAAGTATCCAAGTTATTAGTAGGCTTTAAATTCATCCCAAAGCCTTCCACACCAATTACTTCTAAGGAAAACGAACCCACCTTTGTTTTCAGTTTATCTGTTGAGATCAGCAACTGCTGGATATCATTCCCCAGTCTGATCAATGAAACATTCGATTAGTTTTGATTTTTTTGATATGTAGAATTCAGTTTTCACATTGTTGTACATAATGTATCATACTACAGTCTTGAACACTGTTAAAGATAGTCTGCCTTTGCCTTCCTCTCTTTTTTGTTAAATGAAATGTTCTGGTCACCATGCAAATAGTCCTAGGTTATTGTATAGATTGCAATTGAAAAATCTTAGGAATAGAGGTGGTTTAAAATATATAGGTGCAAATTACAGCACTATTTTAAATATTACATTATGTGTCACCTAGCACTGCTCATCTTACTTTTATCTTGTGTTATTTGATGAGATTGTTTATCAAACAAAGATCAAATGAAGCAGATGAAATGTTGGCAAAAATTAATGTGCAGCATTATGGTTCAATCAGATACTATATTGTGTCTGTAGTTTTAGAAAATACAGTAACAGTATGACTATTATCTGATAAGTCAAAATCACATTTAATAGGAGAAAGTGTATCATATTTTATAATCATTATCACTAGATCTCCTAAGTATAATTGAATAATGACACCGCATACACCGTACCACTTTGGCAATTACAAAATTAGAAAGGTTAAGCTTAACGAAAGAATCTACTTGTACATAACTGCACCTTCAGAAGGACCATGTCCTTTGATGCTATGAAATACAAACAACTTTGAAGGCAACAGAAGACTCTGTTTATTTAAGTCATTTCTTTGTCAGGTTCCTGCTGTTCTCCTACAGAAAAGTGATTCTATGAGGCTGAACAGGAAATGCCTTGTGGAAACAGGAAGTCCAAGTGATTCATGTACTGAGGAATGTAGGGAAAAAAAACCCAGAGGATAGTGTTTTACTCTTTCTGTTTTTAAAGGGCACTCTATGAATTGATTTATTGTCTAAGAAAATAACACCACAAGTAGGGAAATTGTTAAGGAAGCTTTTCACTGGAACATTTCCTTCATACTCCCTTTAGATATGTTTACCTTGTTTTATAGGTTTACTTTTGTTAAGCTAGTTAAAGATTCGTTGTATTAAGACCCCTTTAATATGGATAATCCAAATTGACCTAGAATCTTTGAGAGCTTTTTTTCTATTAAAATATTTATATTTCTAAACCCAAGGTATTTTAAGGTGTAGTATCCTGTTTCAAAGGAGATATAACAGTTTTGCCAAATGTAGACATTGTGTAACTGTATGTTATTGGCACGTGTTGTTTACATTTTGCTGTGACATTAAAAATATTTCTTAAAAAAGTTACTGCTAAAGATACATTATCCTTTTTTAAAAAGTCTCCATTTCAATTAAATTAACATAGCTAAAAGTTAGAAAGTTTAAAACTTTTCCATATAATGAAAGTCCTGATAATTTGACAAATAGCTATAATGGCAATACTTCCTATTACCAACATAATTTGGTTAGTATATACTTTCAGACTAAAATGATTTTTGACAGTTGTTTTGCATAAAAAATATGGCATTCCTAAGATAAAATTGTATAATTTTTCCATCTCATAAATATTCATTTCTTCAAAGTCTTTTTTCAATCTCATAAAAAAGGGATAGTGCATCTTTTAAAATACATTTTATTTGGGGAGGAACATGTGGCTGAGCAGACTTTTGTATAATATTACTTCAAAGATATGTAATCACAAACAAAAAACCTATTTTTTATAATGTCATTTGAGAGAGCTTCATCAGTACAGTTGGTGGACATTAATTGTTTGAATTTGATAGTCTTTGAATTAATCAAGAAACTACCTGGAACCAGTGAAAAGGAAAGCTGGACTTAAATAATATTAGAACTAATTGATAAGTGTCTCTTACTTTTAAAATCTACTGTATTTATTATAATTTACACCCTTGAAGGTGATCTCTTGTTTTGTGTTGTAAATATATTGTTTGTATGTTTCCCTTCTTGCCTTCTGTTATAAGTCTCTTCCTTTCTCAAATAAAGTTTTTTTTAAAAGATCCCCTTTTCATACATTTCGCTTTGTGTAAACTTGATATATTTAATCGAATTCGAAACTCATACACTAGGTCTCACATACCAAAACATATTGCCATTCTTTGTTGAAAAAAGAAAATAAAGATATTTTGAACAGCTATCTCTAATGCCATTAAAATAATAAATCCAACAATGATGATTTTAAACTACTTACCTCTAGCATCATCAAATAGCAAACACATGTAAAACTTGTTGCGTTTTCATTATTCCAGTGTGGCCTTTTACAAGATAAGTTACCATCATTGAGTCATTTTGTAAATGAAAATTTTACATAAATAGATATCAGTTCCTAACTTTGTTCAACTTAAAAAGTTATTTTTAAAATGGTTAACATAATCCCTCCAATAAACAAACACTTAATATCTATTTATTAATAGATAATAAAATGAATAAATTACCATGTATCATAATATGTCTTTTCCAGTGAGAAATTCACCTATGAATATAAAGTAATAGTATATAAATTTAAAGAGAAAAGACTAATTAAATGACCTCCCCTAATATGAAAGCAATTCATATAATACTAGGCTTGTCAGGAGTCTGACTTAGGGGGAAGGAAACTAGACCATACATATACCATGGACCATGATATACCTTGCCCCTTTTCAGGTCAGTTGTTTAGCAGAATATATTGCTCATAATGTGTTAACATGTATTTGGTTCAATATTACAGATTAAAATATTGTTTTATATTATTTGATGGCTTGAATCTAAACTTGACTAGTGTCATAGAAGTGAAAGTTACTCTAAGTCATAACAAATATTAAATGAGATCATTAAGAATTCGAGGATTATAATTATTGACTATTACAGAATGGATTATCAACCCATAATACTATAAATTTCACAATTTAGTCAGGATTTTGAAAATATCATTAATACTAGCAATAGCTTCCTGAAAATTGCCTCTGAACTATTTTAAGATTAGCATGATGCTCAAGAAAAGAGTGGGAGGAATCAATTACATATATACATACAGATGTATATATGTCAAATATAATGTAAATCTGATATCCAAAGTGCTATAAAATGGCTATTTCACTATAAAGCATCAATGTCATATTAGAAATTTTTTCTTCAGAAAAACTACCTAGTTTTTTGCCAGGGTTTGTAATAAATAACTATTAGATTTCCTCTTCTGACAGTAAAAAGTTGTCTTCTCTTTGGCAAAGTTGTCTTCTCTTTGGCTGAAATGGAGACTGCTCGTTTTCATAAATCAGATATTTTTACTTTGTTTCATATTTCTTTTTTTTTTCTAAAGGATGTTGAAAAGGAATTCAGACATTAAAAAATCTAAACATTATTTTGAAACCTAGTACTAAACAGATAAATAGATGGGCACAGCATTTTTCTTTAATTTGACATATGTGTTTATTTTTCAATAATAGAAGCATACAGTTGTGGGTGAACAATGATAAATAATTCAGTTCTACGGTTGTAACCAATTAAAATCAGAGTCATGGAAATGCAGAAGGTAGATTAAAATTCCCTTTTTTGTTGATCGTTCCTCCATCCAGGTTGTAATGGGGAAGTATGGACAGCCAATCAAAGAACTCAGAAGATAAAGCAGGATACTGGGAATGTGACTTTTCAGAACTTATTTATTTATATTTTAAAAGGTTTCTGTTCTTGTTGTATGATAAATTTTTTGAGGTTTTTAACTGTAGACTTTAGACAACACAACATTTGGGGACCATCTTGATTTATAAAAAGGTTTAATTATTGTAAATACACAATATACCAGTATTATTGTAAGAACTCACATTTTGTGACCTTATTCAGACCTCACAACAATATTATGAGGTTGTTAGAGTAGAAATGAGAGTAATGAGACACAGAGAAGTTAAATAAGGTCAAGGCTACCAACTAATGACAGTCTATCTCTAATTTGAAGCTAGACTCTAATTTGAAGCAAGGACTCAAGTATCAGAGTCCTTACTCTTAGGCATCACCATTGTGCTATATTTGTTTAACAATTCTTTTTTTTTAACATGACCAAAATTATTCACTCATTGGTCTCTATTTCACAACTACCTAGTTCTTGATGCTGCTTCTTTTTTTTTTCTCCCCAATGAATCATTTAAATGCCACAACATTGATATTTATGACATTTAATATAAACAGAGGAAAACATTATGTTTATTTTTCTTTTAAGAAATATCTTTGTTTTGGTGATCTTTAAGCACTAAATCACAGTTATTTTTCTTCATTTATACAGCTTTAAAATTCTAGCCTGGCCTACTTTGCACTTAAATTTTATGTTGACCTCTTTAAAGATTTATTTATTTATGCAGACAAGAGCTGGGGTGCAGGCCAGAGATGCGGGAGGTGAGAGGATTCACCAGAGACAGTGGGAAACAGAACAGGCAGATTGACCGAAGTACACTGCTGATGGGAGCAGTGGGCGAGTCAGAAGAGGTCTGCTGCGCCATGTGGGTTGCTCCCTGGCTGGTCGGGGATTGAACTTGTGCTACAGAGGCTGCGGGTTGCTTCATAGTGTGGTGCTTAACACCTTGCACCACCAGTGAGGCCCATTATGTTGTCCTGTTTTACTTTTTTATTGTGGCTATTACAAAAATTAAAACCGTACGTGACTTGCATTT